GAGGCCAACTCTTCTTGTCTGGCCTTGTTTATTCAAAGGGTCTTGCCCTCCTAATTGACAAATAACTTGGGGCTGTTTGGGGAAAAAAATCATGCCGGATAAGTCAGATGTCTAGTTCTTCCCTAAGTCCTTAGAAACATCCCGTATGAACAAAGGAATTAAGACTACAGCAGTGCACCTGTGCCTTCCCCTCAAGTTTGTACTTCACATCAGTTTCTCATATTACACAGCTTCCGGGTCATCCAAGAGACCCTCCCAGCCCCTGCAGTCCGGTCCAATGGCCCTGCACTGAAATCGTGCTGGTCTCGTGGGCTTTAGTTCCAAAGTTCATTCTGCATTTGTTTTGGAAATACTGAAAACCCACAGCGTATAAACTGTGATGACAGGCACTGAGAATGTGGAAGAGAAACCAGATGAAACTCTTCTCACAAGCGACAGTGGAGCGCAGCCCTACAGAGAAGTGGTCATACAGGAGGGTAGCAGAGATTAGGGGAGGGCACAGTCGGAGTGCTACAGGACCTTAGTGGAAAGCAGTTTGAGCTAGGAGAAACCAGGATGACCCCCATTGGGGAGGTGTATTTTCATCCAGGCAAAGAAGTTAAGAGATAAGAAATAAAGAAATCATTCTAGGCAAAACAATCGGAGAGAGGTGGGAGAAAGAAAATTGAAGAGCACAAAACCTTTACAACTTTAGTTAACTTGTATTGGAGAGAGCAAGCTGGAGGATTTTATTCTTTGCTTATTTGATATGCTTTGGGGATGCCTTTTTCCTATTAATGTGCCAATTCATATGATGCTTACTGAATCAGTTCTAAGTCTATGTTGAGGACCCACAGGATGACAACAATGAATGTGACCATTGACTTAAGGGGGTTTTAGACAATGTAAGGGTTAAGAAATTGAATGTCCCTCCCTTAACTCACATACAGAGCAGATAGTCACTATATTGTGGGCACTTTATTTGGGACTTTGATTGACACTCTGCCAACTATCCTGTGTGCCCATATTTGCTGCTGCTCTGTCTAAGTTGCATATAGAAAATTAATTGTGTAGATAGGGGATGTTTAGAGGGTCAACTGCTGGCTGGGAGAGGAGAGGTAGGTGGTCAGAGGGTCTGCTGGATCAGTGGGGTAGAATCAGAGCTGCTCCAGAGATAACGGTAAAAAGAAATGGGATGTCTGTAGGGAAAAGCTCTAATGGATAAGCAGACATCATACTAACAGCCAACATTTATCTTCACAAAGGAAATGGGACATTTGTAGCTGTATGCTGTTAAGATTGCTCTCTGTGGGCCAGCACGATGGCTCAGCAGGCAAAGGCACTTGCTGCCATGCTCAACGCCCCGGGAGTTCAATCCCCAGGATTAACATAGTAGATTAAGAGAATTGACTCTCTCAAATCACCACGTGAATGCACGCCACTACAAATAAATAAATATCTTTTTATTTAAGTGGCTAGTTTTTAAAAACATTGCCCTCTGTCATTTGTAATGTGATGAACATGCAATTATGCATCAGGAAAGCTTCATGGTTGATTTAATTCCATGGCCACCATGCATCATTATCACTGCCTGGGGGGGACAGCCTCCAGAAGTGCAGGGCTCAAAAGGAATCCACAGAGTTAGCATGTACTATGACTTTTTTATCTGAGGGGGTTAAGGGGAAAGACACTCACACACTCTCTTGATAGTTTCCTTCAGACTTTTTCTTTATTCTCCTTTTGCATTCTCTATTCTTTATTTTCCTGATTTCCTTCTCTACTTCTTGATGTTTTCCTTCCAACTTTATCTTTATTCTTGATATTTTCCTTCTAACTCTCTCATTCTTGATTTTTTTCTTCTAACTCATTTTAATCCTATTCTTTCCCTTACAGCTTATATACTCCAGCAAAATCTTTCAGGCAATATAAAAATTACAATGTGGTTATCTTATATTTTTCAAGTGAATGATTACAATGAATACAAGTAAAAAACAGCATGTTTTCTATATTGCATACATGATTAAACATTTTACATATTACAGGTGAAAAACAAATTATCCCAAGACCCCACATAAATGCATACCCAAGCAACTTGTTATTGATTAACAAAGTGTAAGCAAGAAAAGTATTTTTCTTAGCCAGTTCTTTTACTGGAAGGCTGCATTTTGCAGTTACAAAGAAAGGACCAATCACTTTATTACTTATCTTGAAAGGTAATCTTATAAGGAATCTTAGAGGAATCACAAACCTAAACGTTTATCTATGAAAAAGAATCAGTTAGCTCTACTTTGAATCTTCAGGGTGCATACCCACTCATCAATAGTTTTTTATACCAGTAGATTGAGGGCAGAGATGGGTACAAGGAATTAATAATCACCTTTGGTCATCAACCAATCCTATCAAGAAAAGCACATCAGCTAATGGTAATTGGGCTGCTTTGTTCTTGTTCCCTGACCTTAATGAGTTCCTCATTCAACTATGAGCGTTTCTAAAACTTTAACTGTCTTCTTAGTTTTTCACCTCGAAGCTATTTGACAAAAAAATCTTAGTCTAACTTTAAGTTATTTTCTAAGCATTGTTTTAGCTATGATGCACTCTAAAACCTGTGAACACATCTCCCAACATTAAGGTTAAAGAATTTAAGCTAGCTGGGCTACTGGGACTCAATTGTTTTTCTTAATCATTAGCCTAAGCCACAGTCTATATGGCTCCTCAATAGAAACACATGTGCTCTAGCTGTGTGACACTTCCTTGTTTTATTTTTTATCATCAAAATTCTATTTAGACTAACATTACTACTATCAATTAGACAATATAGCTTAGGAAGAAATCCTCTTCATAATAATCCACAGGTAAAAATGTCCAGTAGAATTAGATATTTCCATGAGACAACACACTACATTATAGGCAGTGGGGGTCTCCCTACACCCATTCCCTCCACACCAGACACCAGAGAAAGATGGCAGCAGCAAATATGTGAAGGCACAGCAGAAGCAAAAGGCACTCAGGTCTGTGGTCTCAGAGCATCGCCTATCTGAGATTTACCCGTCAGGTATTCACCTCCTGGTGCGCCGACACCCTGAAGTCAACTCCTATCTTCTGTGCCTCTGACACGGCCACCAGCACATCGTGGTTCAACAACTTTCACGTTAGAACAGCTTTGTCAGTGGTAGCATATGGACTAGAACACAAGGGGTTTGACCCGATGCTGGTGTCCCTCCTGAACGCACGAGGCAACCCACATATCATCGCCTTCCATCCCCAACACCCTCCAGAAGAAAATCCCCAAAGTGTCAGGTTAGTTTTCTAACAGTAATTCTGCGTCCATTGCATAAGTAGCTGGACATTTCATGCTTTCTAAACCTTTTTAGTCACAATGTGACCGACACTGGGTGCTGTGGAGGGAGTCTGTCTCACATCCTTGTTGGCTGTGTGTCTTCCTTTGAGAACTGCCTATTCAGACTGTGTCCAGGTTTGGTTCTGTTTGGTGTAGTTTTTAGTTAGCTCCACCACTGTCAGTTCTGAAATGATACTTTCAATTGGTTTTTAATTTTTGTGAATCAGCTGATAGTCCTTAACCTAAAATCTGTACTCAAAGGCAAAACTCCTAACAGAAACAAAGCAGAAAACTAGGTAACTTGGGTGTTTGCTCTTGAGTTGTCTGACTTCCCTGTGTATTCTGTTTCTTTTGCTGTGTTGAAGCTTCTGATTTTAACCTAATCGCACTTGTCTATTTTTCCTTTTGTTGCTTGTGTTTTAGGGGGCCTTATCCAAAACTGCCTTGCCAATATTGCTGTCTTGAAGTGTCTTCTAGCAGTTTCCCATCTTTTCTTTGGGTCTTTGGTACATTTTTTAGCTCATTTCCATATATGATGATGAATAGGGATCTAGTTTCATTATTATGCATGTGTGTAATGCCTAGACTTAAGACGTTCCTCTTGGCACTTGGCTAGAAGAACTTATCTTTAGTGGCCAGATGAGCAGACACATTGCTGTGTTCTTCTTACAAATCTTTCCTCTGATGGCCTCACAGCAATTTGGAGGTTAGCAACCATATAAAAGCACAACTAGAAAGAATAACTTTTTAAGATAGAAAACCAGGCATTTTATAAATATGGGGATTGGCAGGTGACTCAGTCAGTATAGTGCTTGCTACATACCTATGGGGACCTGAGTTTGATACCCAGAACACGTAAAAACCCTCAGGCATGGTGCCAAGAACTTGTTAAAGAACAAACTTTAACAACAACAACAACAAGAAGACAGAAATTTGAAGTGAGTGTGTCAAAGCTAATTTTAATAAAGACATAGATAATTTTAAATTAAATTTGCATGACTATAGCTCCTGGCAGGCAGACCACCCCTCAGTGCGGGCCACACATCCAAGAGTATGTGGGTAGCATAAACTATACTAGATAGCTTTAAAAAAAACAAGCGGAGGACACAAGAGCCGGGCAGGGAAGGGGGACAGATCTGGGAGGAGCCGGAGTAGGGATGAAGATTATAAAAATGCATCATATGAAATTCTCAAAGAAATAATAAAATGAGAAAAACAAATAAATTTGCAGTTGCAAAAGCAAAAAAATCACAAAAAGTAAAGTCAGAGAAAGGAGTTTGCTTGCTAAGTAGAAGATAAACATCCTGAAAATACTCATTCGCTCAATGTGCACACTACGCATCGCAGGCCATAGCCTCACACTGGTGAACTCCACACAGATTCACTCTGGTGGGAACTGATAAGCCAGCAGGTTGTTTCGTTATTAGTATATTTTACAAAATCATGAAATCATATAGGAAATGCCATTTTATTATTTCATAGAACATTGAGAAAAATTCTTGTAGGATTCTGAACTGTGTTGAATCTGTTGAGGAATAATATCTTAACCCTGTGACCCAGCAGAGAGGAAGGGCAGTCACTCTGCCATGAGGGGACCTCTTTGAGCCTGAGGAACGTGTGTGTGTGTGTGTGTGTGTGTGTGTGTGTGTGTGTGTGTGTGTGTGTAAATATATGACATATTAATGTATGATACATTGTGGTCATAACACTAATATGACTCATTAGAGCTCACTTGGGATTAAAAGAAAACTATGGGGAAATAAATCTGAAAGCTTGTGTGTTCCTATGTATTGATGGACCTGAGAGATATGTACTAGTCATTTTTCTAGGTGTCTGCATATGTGCTTCAGTCAAAAATTTATCTGCTGCATATTCTTTCTTAATTCACATCAAATTGTGGCATCTGTTACAAAGTGAGACTTTTAGATTTCATAGTTGATTATTGTTGCTTTATAAAAATTCTTCATTTGTATATACCACTCTCCCTTTCTCTCCTCTCACTTTGTTGCCTGGGTCGGCCTTCAACTTGAGTCAACCTCCTTTATATGTCATCATGATTGACTTTAATCACTTTTTCCTACTTTGCTAATTTTCTCCTAATTCTGAGTTTCCCATGATTTGTCTTTCTCTTGAGTTTTACTGTTGGTGATTTCTGCTTTGTTTTATTTGCATGTATATACCACATCTTCTCTATCCATTGACTACCTCTCATGGTGTGGGGAGAAATGTCTAAAGTAATGGTACCATCAGGCAACTTACAGGCAAGGTTTTGAGGTAAAAGCAGAGAACTGGAGGTTTGGCCAGAGTCTTAGGACTTTCATTGTTGTGAAGAGACACCATGACCATGACAACTCTTGTAAAGTAAAGCATTTAATTGAGGTGTCAGCTTACAGTTTCAGAAGTTTAGTCCATTATCATCATGACAGGGAGCATGGCATTGTGCAGGCAGACATGGTGCTGGCTACATCTTGATCAGAAGGCAACAGGAAGTGGACTATGACACTAAGCAAAGCTTAAGCAAAAGAGACCTCAAAGCCCGCCCCCACAGTGACACACTTCCTTCAACAAGGCCACACCTCCCAATAGTGCTGCTCCCTATGAGTTCATAGGGGCCAATTACATTCAATCTACCACAAAGCCCCTGGGATACACAGAAGTTTATCCTCAGGCTTAGCATATGAAACAGTGTATTTTTATTGACTAATTACAGTAAAGATGGATTGTTTCTACTCTGAAATGTCTTGTAACAGGAATTCATGGAGTCCAAATTTAAGATCAATGGAACGGCAGTTACTGAGTTCATTCTTCTGGGCTTGGTAGAGACAGCAGGGCTGCAGCCAGTCATCTTTGTGATCTTCTTCTTCGCCTACCTGCTCACAGTTGGTGGCAACCTAAGCATCCTGGCAGCTGTCTTGGTGGAACCCAAACTCCACACTCCCATGTACTTCTTCCTGGGGAATCTGTCCATGCTGGATGTTGGGTGCATCAGTGTCACTGTCCCATCAATGTTGGGTCGTCTCTTGTCTCACAAGCGTACAATCCCATATGGAGCCTGCCTCACACAGCTCTTCTTCTTCCATCAGCTGGCTGGGGTTGACTGCTTTCTATTGACAGCCATGGCTTATGACCGGTTCCTGGCCATCTGCCGGCCCCTCACCTACAGCACCTGCATGAACCACACAGTCCAGAGGATCTTGGTGGCCACGTCCTGGGCTTGTGCCTTCAGCAATGCACTGACCCACACTGTGGCCATATCCACACTCAACTTCTGTGGCCCCAATGTGATCAATCACTTCTACTGTGACCTGCCCCAGCTCTTCCAGCTGTCCTGTTCCAGCACCCAGCTCAATGAGCTGCTGCTCTTTGGTCTGGGTGTCCTCATGGCTGGTGCACCTGTGATTCTCATTGTCACCTCTTACATCCATGTGGCAGCTGCAGTTTTGAGAATCCGATCTTCTGAGGGCAGGAAGAAAGCCTTCTCCACGTGTGGCTCCCATCTCACTGTGGTAGGCATCTTCTATGGGACAGGTGTCTTCAGCTACATGAGACTGGGTTCAGTGGAGGCTTCTGACAAGGACAAGGGCATTGGCATCCTCAACACTGTCATAAGTCCCATGCTGAACCCGCTCATCTACAGCCTTCGGAACCCTGATGTGCAGGGTGCCCTGAGGAGGGTGCTGACAGGGAAGCGAGACATGGCATGAGGGTGCTCAGGGGGTCAGAACACAGTGCAAACTGGGCATGGTTTTGCACACTTATAGTCCCAGCACTCGAGAGTGGAGGCAGGAGGATAAGAAATTCAATTTCATCTTTGACAGCAACTTCGAGGCCAACCTATGCTGCATGAGGTCCTGTCTCAAGAAAACAAACAAACAATGCATCAATATTAAGATTTTTCTTAGAGATTTGTTTTATTATTCTGCAAGTATTCTATACATTGTGATAAACACAAATCTTGAGCTGAATGAAATAAAAAATTGCTATTTATATGTATATTTTTCTCTTACCCTACACAAATTTTATACTGTTTTATTATTCCAATGTTAAATGAAACTGTTCTTCCCAACTATTTGGTAACAGTGACTATTATAAATAAACTCCTTTAATGTTTAATTGTAAATAATTAAAAATTATTATAATATTAAAAATTGCTATTTTGAGATGTAGTTTTGGAGGTTCACCTCAGTTTGGTTATATTTTCAAATATTTGTTTTCCATGATATGACTCAAACTGTGATTCCTTCTCAATTCATGTATGTAATCTCTGACCCTTTAATGTGACATATTTGCAGGTATGTAAACATGCTCCCATGGGTGTGGATGACCCCACACCCATGCACTTACAGGTAACACTAATTAGACACAGTGAGATATTTCTTTAAAAAGTAAAATATTACATGAAACTGGGAAGCAGATGTGTTGGGGCAGGAGTCCAGGGGGAATCCCATAGGGGTCATGGAGGTAGACATGATTAAAATAACTGTATACACATATGAAATTCTCAAACATTCAAATTTTTTTTTCAAGAAAAAAAATTGTCAGTGATCACAGTGAAATGAGGTTGGGGTGGGGTCTTAATCCAGTGAGACTCAGGACCCTCAGTCACCCTCACTCCCTGACATGTGAAGATGCAGTAGGAAGGTGACTTTCTCACAGCCAAGAGAAGAAACTTCATCAGTACCTGGCCAAGGCTGCAACTGGATCTTGGACTTTGTGTCTGTAGAACTGTAGCAAAATGTATTTCTGTTGCTTAAAGTACCCAGGGCTACCCTTTGTCATGACCATCTGTGCTGGGTGATAAAACCCATCAGTGCTGCTTTGTTGGAATTGTCTTGTTTTGTCTTCTGTCTAGAATTTATATGGACTGTTAACAATTTTCACATTGATTTGCAGAAACTCTGCTGTTTATTTTGCAAATAATTCCAGTCTCCCAATTTGCTGTCTTTCTTTCACTCCTTTTTTTCATCTCCCACTAACTGCAAGGTTTATATTTTATGTATTCAAATATACCTTTTTATAAGCTCATGGACATTGTGTTATAACTATAAGAAAATTAGCTTTCAACATTTCCCTGGATCTACAAACACCTATTTCAGATAGGCAAGACATCCCAGACCACCCATGTCTTATCCACACTCCCCTACACCAAAAACTCCCTGACTACCCTACACAGACAGGTTTGAGGTCCCCAGACCCTCTGCTCCCACACACACTTCCAGCACCCCATAGCCACCTGGCCTGGACAAGTAAGGGGTCCCTTGACTTTGCACCTCATATGCACACTTTTCAAAAGTACCCCACAAGTCAGGTTAAAGGTCCCTAGCCATCCCACTTCCCATGAATGTTTCTGATGCTCGAAGCCCTTTCTGGCCAGGTTAGAGGTCTCCATTCCTCCTACACATAATTCCATCCCTCCCTACCTTTCCTGGAGGAGACAGAATCAAAGTCCCTGGACCTGTCTCCTCCTACACAAACTTCCACAGTCCTGTAAACATCAGACCCCAAACAGATAATGAAACAGTGGATGGGTAAAGATCATCTCTCACCTTCTCCACTCTGATTCTTGTCCCACCCCCTCCAAGAATGGAGGACAAAGAGAACAAACCAGACACATTTTACTGTCAATAAGGGGTTAACAATCTTTGTGCAGGACTAGATGGGCCATAATCAACTAAATCTTTAACCACATCCAGCCAATCAGAGAAGAGCTCTCAAAAAGTTATGAACAATTCCTGTTGCTGTGGCTGCCATTGCAGGTCTGGTACAGCCTGGGCCTGCTGGGGGCTCTGGCTGTCAAAAGCTCTTGTGCAGCCTAGTGATTTTTTTAGAAAAAAATTTAATTAAAATATAATTACATCATTGTAACTCTTCCCTTTCCTCCGTCCAATGCCCTCCAAGCCTCCCCTCTCTCAGTTTCATGGTTTCTCATTGTTATTGTTACATATACATAAATGCATAAGTATATGACTACAACCTGCTGTATTCATTAAGTGTTGTTTGTAGATATATGATTTCAGGACTGACCACTTAGTACTGGATAACCAGTTAGGGGACTCATTCTTGGGAAAAACTTATTCTTTCTCTGTCAGCATCCCTTATTTTCTGAAGTTCTTTGTCTAGGGTGTGGGATTCCATGAGATTTCTCCCTTCTATGATAGCATGTCTATTGGTATTATTATTGTTCAGGTCTTGCTTAGGCAGCCCTATTGTTGAGGTACCATGGATGTCGCTTCCCTGCCATTTCTAGGAGACACAGTCTCATGGTAGATTTCCTGGTCCTCTGCTTCCTACAATCTTTCCAGTCCCTCTTCTCTGATTGCCCCTGAGGTGCAGGAGTTGTGTTGTAGATGTACCCATCAGGCCTGGGCACCCCAAGATCAGTTGTTTCTGCATCTTGACTAGTTATGGTTTTCTGTAATAGGTCTCAGTCTGCTGTAAAGAGAAGCTTCTATAATGAGGGGTGGGGACTACACTTACTGGTATAAGGATATGTATTTGAAATGCAGTTGGAAATTATGCTTGCTTAGTGTAGTAGCAGTAATAGGTTCTCCTCTAAGATCCACAGAGTCACTAGCACCAGGTAGTTGAGTAGGTTTCCAGTACCAGGCATGACGTCCCCTTGTTGAATTGACTTGTACCCATTATCAAGAGGTCCCTAGACCTCCTGCTCCATACACACAATTCTGATACTCAGTGTACTCACCCTGGCCAAGCATGCTAGATGTTTTGGGACCTATAGCCACACAATTTCTGCCTCATGCACACCCTAGATTGTGAAGTTGGGAAAGCATGACAACTTGTGATACCTTGTTCCCAGTAGACATCCCAGTGCACACTCACCAAGTGGGAAAGCAGGAGATTCCATGAGTCACTCACATCTATAATGCTACACACACACCCACTCCAGTTCATGAAATTAACAATTATATAAATTCCTAAGCATTTACAAACTCCAGCTCTTGAGCCTGGAGGATGCATAAAGTCCTTGTCCCTGGAGCAACTTCTCACCAAACAGCATGGAGTCTGGTTTATGAGGTCAGAAGCCATGGACCCCTGAAATCCAGATGACATCACCTTCATCCATCCCATAGATGAATCAGTACCAAGTCTCTCCATGTCTGAACTTTTAAAAATAATGAGCTGAGCAAAAGTTCACAAAGCAAGGACAGTATCAAGTAGTAGGGGAAGAAAACTCACACAGGTTTTGTAGAAAGTCATAACCAGCAAACACTCTAGATGAGTAGATCCAATATAGAAACACTAGTGTCAGGAATACTCAAGACAAAATGTCTCCTCTAAAAACTACCAGTTCCATGGCAATGGCTGCCATGACAGTGACTTAGAAGATTCCAAACAGATAACTGAAGACAATGATATAATTATATCCAAAGATCTCAAAGAGGACACAAACATATGAATGAATTTTAAGAGTACCCTCAACAACACACACACACACACACACACACACACACACACACACACACACACACACACACAAATCCTGAATGAATTTCATGAAAATGCTAACAGTTGGATGAAATAAAGTAAATTCAAGATAAGAAAATAGAATTCAACAGAGATAGAAATGCTGATGAAAAAGCAAACTGTAATGATCCTTCAAAAGAAAAATTCAATAAGCCAAATGATAAAAAAAATCTCAGTGGAAAGTGTCACCAATAGAATGGATCACATGGAGGATGAAATATCAGGGTTTGAGGATAAAGTAGAACTAGACCTTCTGGTTAAAGTCAGTGACAAAAAAAAGTTTGACTGGAAGGAGCATATGAGATCTGTAAGACATAGTAAAGACTCAATTTATAAAGTATGTGCATGAAGAAGGAGAATGTGGTGCCAAAGACATAGAAAATATTTCCAACAAAATCACAGAAGAAAAAATTTTCAAATCTAGGGCAGGAGATGCCCATCCAGATACAAGAGACACAAAGGATGCCAAACAGGACCAGAGAAGAAACTCCCCGCATCATATTACAGTCAAAACACTAAGTATTTAGAGAGAAGAAAATGTGGGAGTGACAAATAGATGGGCTAAGTCATATACAAAAGTCAGCCCTTTTAGAATAACCAACCAATTTTCAGTGGAGACTCTAGAACCCAGAAGGGGCAGAAGGTTATATTTTTAGTTCTGTAAGAGGAAAACTGCCAGATCAGACTATTATACCCAGCAAAACTATCTGTTGCTGTTGGGGTGGGGTGGGGTTGTCTCTGTGACCACCATGGCCATTAACAATCCATAGGAGGCAAGAAGGCAGTTCAGTTCAACATGACTAAGTAGCCAGTGTTGATTCAAACTTTGGGAGTCTGACCCCAACTAGTTTATTTTAGGCATATTCAAGCACAGCACAATTTGGTGAAAGCTTTCCTGGTGGTAATTAACTCAGTCTTGTGTGCTCAATAAAGCACACACAAATCTCCTTGAGGAACAAAGTAAGTAAAGATCAGATGTGACTACATCAAAACTCTTTGTAAAGTACATGTGACATCTTCCATAAAGATGGGTTCTATAGACTATCTGTGACACCATAAAGATGGAAAGATATGTTCTATAGATCAACTGGAAAAACAAGTTCATTTTAAGAGTCTGGGGCAGGATCTGGTGTGGTCTCACTCACAGAGATAGCTTAAAGGTCACCAGGATATTTACCACATCTGCTTCCAGCCTTCTGGACAGATAACAGGTTGGGCATCACTTCCTTTGAAGGAGTAACACTGTGTGTTTAACATCTCTGGTTCCCCTTGTGCTTGTCTGTGATCACAAAGAACTCTGCCTCCTCCATGGCACAATGCAAGGAGAAAGAGAACACTCGTCTCATTATGAGTAGTTGGAGTTGCATAGGTACTTGATAGCCTGTGGTTATGTGTTTGTGTCCCAGTGCCCAGTGACAAAATAGGAACTGTGTCTCAAAAGGAGAACACCTGCCTCCAGAATGCATAGGTTTGCTCTGAAACACTAACGTTCACATTTGACCCTTCTATTGGTGATCAGAAGCTGCCCCTTAGAGCTTCTTACTGCCACCAATGCTTCAATTATGGC